CTTCGGCGCCCCCCAGGCAACACCGGGAGCCGGCAGAGTGGGGCAGGCAGGACCCTGGGCTGGGCGGGTCCTTGGTCTGCCCCTCCAGGGCCGTTCTGATTAAACACCCCAGTTTGGGCTTGTCAAAGGTGCCAGCGAGTTTGATGCTTAAAGGGCAGGGCATTTTAAAGGCGGGCAGGTGGCCAGCCCCCGAGGTGCCATTCCAAGTACAAGTCTTCACTTGGGTTAAAATGGGCCCGGACGCCCGTCCCCACAACGCCCCCCACACCTCTGCTCCCTTCTCCCCTAGGGCTGGGGGGTCTGGCAGGAGGGGCTGGAATCCTGGACGGGGGGCTCAGGAGCGCCGGTCGCCCGCCCTGAAAACGCCGAGGGGTTAGGGCCTGGCGGGGGTGGGGGCTGTCGGAGAGGGACACTCACCTCTTGCAGCCGCGGCAGCTCCTTGTCCCTCCCCTTCCCCCCCCAGACGCCATGAGGAGCGATTTCAACACCTCCACCGGGCACCTGGCAACCGGAGCCCTCGGCAGGGCCTCTGCCCACCTCAGCCTCCGGCAGCAGAGCCCCTCCCAGGACGGTGAGTCCGGGCCAGGGTCCCCGTGGGGCCCGGTGCCGTGGGGGCCCGGGCGGGAGGGACGCAGGAAGGGGGGACCGTTCGCATGAGGAGCCGGGCTGGGGGCTTTGGGCAATGAGGGAAGCGGGGAGCCAACTGCATGTCAGCTGTTGAGCGTCACATTTCGGGCAGTCCCCTCCCCCCTGATTGGGATGGGGTCGAGGGTCTCCCCCAGCGCCACACGTAGGCTGCTACGCGCTCCCGGCCGTGACCTCCGCCTGTGCTCTCCCCTAGGCGGCTCAGGACACTTTGGGGAGCTCTCTCGGTCCTGCCGCCACCCCGTCACCCGCTGGGAGGACAGGACCGTGCACACGCACCTCCAGAACGTCACCTACCAGGCCGGCAAGCTGCGGGTGAGCCAGGCGGGCAAGTACTACATCTACTCGCAGATCTACTTCCGCTACCCCGGCGCCGGCGCCGCCGCCCGCCTCTCCGGGCACCAGCTGGTGCAGTGCATCAACCGCGAGACCGCCTACGGGCAGCCCATCCTGCTGCTCAAGGGCGTGGGCACCAAGTGCTGGGCGCCCGAGGCCGCCGACGGCCTGCACACCCTCTACCAGGGCGGCCTGTTCGAGCTGCAGGCCGGCGACCAGCTCTTCGTCTCCGTCTCGTCCCCGGCCATCGATTACGACGACACCGCCGCCAGTTACTTTGGGGCCTTCCTGCTTGACCCGTGAGGGGGCGGGGCCTGCGTTTACACCCGCCTCCCATTGGACCATCGCATTGCAGACGCTCTGGCTGCCGCTGGCCCGGCTGCGGGGACCCGGCCGAGGCTTTGTACCGCTCCCTGTTCCTGCCTTGCAAACCCACCTGGCCCAGCAGGGCAGGGATGCTGGGCCACAGAGGCCAGGGCCCCGGTTCTGTTCCCGTGGGGCTGTGCCGTTGGAGGACTGGCCTACAGCCGCAGAACAGTGGAAGAGCCTCGAATGCACCTCCCGCCCCCTGCTGGAGCCAGAGCAGAGGGGCAGCAAACTGTGCGGAGGGGAGAGCGTGGAAGGACTTGGTGCTGGTGGGCGCAAGGAGAGGCCCTGACTTGCTGGGAAACTCGTCCAGCGGATCCAAGCCCAGGGAGGAGGGGGAAGCGGCAGGCCAGATAGGGCTCCGGGTGGGGATCCCGGAGGAACCAGCTCCTGAGTTTCTTGAGCCCGCGGGGGGAGGACGTGCGGGGCCAGCCAAGCGGAGTGCGGGCGCGTGTGAAAGCAAAGGGTTAGCTGCCGTAGTTTGGCACGTCAGGATCCCAGGCGGGGGACCCCTGCTCAGCTGAGCTCCAGGGCTGCGCGTCTGCAGTGGGCAGGGGACTTGGACCAAACGGCACGGTGCAGAGAGGACGCAATATGGAAGGTGGCCGGGGGAGCTGTTCCTCCCTCCAGCACAGCCACCCCCTCACATGGACAGGTCCCAGCGGTCAGCCTGCCGCGTACCTGCCTCCGGCCAGGGGGAAGGAGCCGGGGCAGGGACCGGGGGTCTGTTCTGCTCTGGCCTGAGTAGATGGTACGTGATCCAGCCGATTGGAGCAAGCCGACACCGCGCATCCCACTCACGCCTTGTGTGACGTGCGTAGCCACAGCCCAGCGGGGCCAGGGGCATGTGGCAGCAGGAGCCAGTAGAGCCGCACACGGGGCTGTCACCCCACCATGCTGGGCTCTCCAGAGCCGGGCCGCAACAGCCCATTGTGGGTCCGAATCCCCTTTCTGCCACGAGCTATTAAGGCCACCTGGACGCCCGCCTCTGTGCACACCGCAAGCATCTCACCCCAGAGCCAGCAGGAGGCGATCAGGGAGGGAGACCGCCGCCGAGGAGGGGAATGTAGGTCAGTGGATCAGGTTTGCCCGCGTGCGTCACGGCACGCCCAGACCCGTTCTGCCTCCCCCGCAGGCGGGATGCTAGTCAGATGAGCGCACCCCACCCGGTCCGCACAAGAGGGGCTTAACTCCCCCTAGTGCCGTCAGGAGTAAGGGACGTCAACGGGAGAGTTTCTTCCGTCGCCCTCCCGCAGCGGGGACGCCGCAAAAATTCCACTTACGGTGCATCGACTCCAGCTAGGCACGCCCAGACCCGTTCTGCCTCCCCCGCAGGCGGGATGCTAGTCAGATGAGCGCACCCCACCCGGTCCGCACAAGAGGGGCTTAACTCCCCCTAGTGCCGTCAGGAGTAAGGGACGTCAACGGGAGAGTTTCTTCCGTCGCCCTCCCGCAGCGGGGACGCCGCAAAAATTCCACTTACGGTGCATCGACTCCAGCTAGGCTGGCGCGGCGTAGGGGGACTTTCTCACGCCGTGCGGACCTGGCCTAAGGTGCCCCGGCCTATTTGCCAGGGGCTGGGAATGGGCGATGGGAGGGATCGCTCAGTGTCACTCTGGGGCACCTAGCACTGGCCCTTGTCAGCAGACAGGACCCTGGGCTACATGGATCTGTGGCCTGGCCCAGTGTAGCCGCTCTGCTGTCTTACAGTAGGAGGTTTGCATGGCTCAGGCATCGTGGTGTCTAAAATCCGACCCTGGCCAAGGCCTAGATCTCAACTGCATGGCCCGCTCCTGCCCCCCGCCTCCCGGGAAGGCAGCGGAGGTGCACAGGCGGGGCTGAACGCCGATTTGGAATGGCTAGCACCGAATCCGGGCTCACCCCATGCTCGGCTGGTCGATTCTGGGCAGGCTTCCCAAAACCCCAGTGTTCCTCTGTAATTACTTGTGTATTGTGTGCGTTGTCAGAGCAAGCCGGGGCCGCCCGTCTGTACCGATGTGCGGCAGCGAAGGGTCGCTCCGGCGAAAGGGGCGGGCGCTGCCCAGCAGGCTCCGGTGGCAGTGTTCTGTGCTCGCGCAATAAAACGTGTATTCCCTCCTGGCGTTTGCATCGCATCAGACAGACCAAGGCCGCCCAGCTGGTCCTTGCTGAGTTCATGCTGCACAACCTGCCACCTGCCCACCCAGGTCAGGCTCGGAGGGTTTTACACGGGACTGAGGCCTGTGCCGGTGAGGGCTGAGCTCCCCAGACACAGAGTCTGGGGGCGGCGCTGTGGCACCCCTATGGGCAGCAGGCATCCCGCTGGACTCCGGAGAAAGCCGAGCGCCTGCAAACACCTTGCTCCGCCGCCCGGAGGCTCAGCTCCCCGGAGTTACGCAGAGATCGGTAAAGCAGCGAGGCGCCCTCCGGCACCTTCCAGACTCACCTTGATCTGGGCAGAAGCGTGCGTGGGCAAAGACCCGCTTCGTCAGATGCACCCTGGCAGCTCTGGTCAGCCCCAGGCCTTTGCCGGTCCGGTTGGCAGTGCCATGCAGTGGATCTGGCAGGCTCCCCGCTCGCCTCTGGGGGTGCAGCTCCCAAGCAGCCTGAGGCAGTCGGGGGTTCTGCTTCCTGTCCCAAAAATCGCCCTTGTTGCTCCCATTGGGCAGGGGCAGCGCCTGCAGACCGGGCTGGGTGCGTGCAAGAGCCGGAGGGGGGACATGGTGCTGCTTGCACCCGACACTCCCCAGGCCCCAGCCCTGATCCCTGTCCCACACTCTAAGCCCCTCAGGCCCAGCTCAGAGCCCCCTTTACACCCCAAATCTCTCACCCCCAGCCCCCCACACCCTCAACCCAGAGCCTGTACTTCCTCCCACGCCCCAACCCCTTGCCTCAGCCTGGAGGCCTTGCTCCTCCTCCACTTCCCCAAAATCCCTCCCCCCGGGCCCACCCCAGAGCCTGCATCCCAGTGAGAAAGCAAGCGAGGGGGGATGAAGTGAGCAGGGGGTGGGGCCTTGGATGAGGGGCGGGGCTATGGGCAGGGCTTTGGATGAGGGGGGGGGCAGGAGGCGGAGCAAGGCAGCCCAAATTTGGCAGAGTACTGTACTATATAGCACCCCGGCCTGCCCCCGTCTTTTTCCAAGGGTTCCCTAGTGACCTGCACTGCAGCTTCTGCTCCGAAGTCACCGGAGGCTTTTGAAAGCTTTCCCCATCAGCCAAGCCCAATTGCTCCCCCTCCCACCCCACATTACAGCAGGGCCCCAGCCCCCTGGGCCTGCCTGCTCAGCAACCCCACTTGTACACGAGGCCAGCCGGGGTTTGTCCGTCTGGGTAACATGGGGTGGGCACAGCGGGGAGCAGAGGGACCCGTGGGGCTGGGGGGAGCTGTCAAAACGCAAGGCAAAGGAGCAGGACAGCCATGTGACGCCACTTCCAGGCCGAACTCTCTGCCCTGCTCTGCCTCTTAGAGCAGCTGGTCGCACAGATGAGCTCACGCTGTCCCTCAACGCCAGAAGGGGGGGAGCCCCTCTCTGCTGTCCCTCCCCTCCCCTGTGGTCCCTCCTGCGGTCATGAGCTTGCCCCTGGCCAGATCTCCCTGTGCGTGGGGTCCACAGCGGGGTCGGGGTGCTCCGTGGCAGTGGGGTTGTGCGGCGTAGCTTGGGGGCCCAGGGTAAAACAAAGCACCAAAAGGCGTTCGCCCATTTCCAGACTGCGCGTCAGACCTCCAGCTGGGAGATCGGGTAACCAGCCCAGCCCCTGGGAGCGGAGAAATTCCGCGTCAGCCTAGCGCTGACTCCGACTGTCGGGCACGCCCGGCTGCTGCTGGCTCCGGCCGAGGGCCCCCAGCTGGGACCCAGCTGGCCTAGTTCACAACGCAGGAAACACATTTGATTCTAGGCACAGCTCCGCTGGCGAGAACGGGACGCAGCCGCATAGGAGGGGCGGGATACAGTCAGCCGTGACAAACGCTGGCGTGCAGCTGCCTCTGGGGTGGAAGGCGGCCGCCGTGTTCACCAGGAGCATCGACGCACGGCCGTGAGCACGGCAGAACGGCAGAGCCTCGGGGAAGTAGATCCCCCCCCTCCACCTGGAATCTAACAATCCCTCTTTCCCATGCAAGGTACCAGGACTGAGCACAAGCCGGCAGAGCCTCGTCAGCCTCACGGTGGAATCAGCAGCAGAGCGGTCCCTGCGGGTATACGTACCATGCCCTCCACGAGATCCTCCCCAGAGGTGTCCTATCCCCGCAAGCAGGACTGAGTGTCGAGGTCACTGCATGGCCAGGGGTTCAGATCTTAGTCCTGAGCCCTTGCTGGGAGCTGAGCTGAGCTGGGGATGCAACAGCAACAGAACCACCAGGGGAATGAGGGAGGGGAAAGACACAGGACAGAAGCAGGAGGAACCAGCCTGGGCTGCCAAGGGATTCCTGCCTGGTTCTCCGTGCTTGGAGGGAAGGTGGCGGCAAGAGACAGCCTGGAAGTAAAGAAGGGATCAGATACAAGCGCTGGAAGGATCTGGGAGCGCTGTCAGGCCCCGAATGGCTCAGGGAATATTACTAGGGGCAGGCCATTTGCTCGCACTGGATCCCTGCATGCAGCAAGCTCCGGCCAAGTCCTCCCCTGCACCCAGGATCCCAGAAGAGAGCCTGGAGGCGCAGGGGGAAGGAGGCCTCGCTGCACAGGGAGCAGACTGAGCCTGGGTTCCAGCCACGTGAATGGAGACCCTGGCCCGGGCTTGGAGGGTGCCTTGTTCTGGCAGTGCTGGGACGTGGCTTTGCCACCGTCTCGCCTTCGGCAGCGCTGAAGCGCCTCAGTTCTCCCACACCCCGGGGCC